AAACTCTCACACTGATAAAAATGTTTTTCGTTGGTTAAATTTGCAAAAATCTTGACGATTTGAATTAGGTGTTGTCTAACACTATTGTGCGCGTGCATGTACTTGTGCATGTGCATGTGCATGTGTGTAGTTTATAGTCTAGTAAAAGATGCATAAATATTGAATTGTATGCATTGGTTTGCTCAACTTGTAATTATTTTGCCTGTAATTTTCAGGCTGGGCTCCAACACGCAAGCTGAAGGATGTTGTGTGGGGACTAAACTCTCTGTTCATGGTAAATGCTACATTTTTACAAACACATAATTCATATTATAGTTTTCGAATAAGATTACTCGTTACACTACGTGTTATAGCACATAACAGGAATTTATATGTGGGAGTGTGTGCGCACGTGTGCATGCGTGTGTCTGTAGTCACACTGAATCTATCTGAATATACCAGTGGAATTACATGACATTACAGTGTATTACGTAAACTGGGTGATTTTCAATAATATAATAATGTAAATCAAGGTTGATATGTACTTAATGAACACATGTTAAGGGAAATGGCAGTTTATGGCTTCTTTAAGAAATTAACATGATGAAATTTTCACAAGTGCAGAGTTTTTTCAAGTACCAGTTTGTAGGTGACTCATTGATCTGTAACACCAGAAAACTTAAATTTGTATGTATTCATTTATTGTCATTTGTATCTAAATGCGTCAAAAGGTTTGGGTTGCTTACCATTATTATCCACGTATCACGGGCATGAATTTTACCATGGCACTTAACGCAAGTCCTGTAGTTCCACTTCCCCCTCTTTGATATCGTTCCTAAAAATATATCTTTAGGAAGGCTTTTCAAAGTGCTGGGAAATTGCACCTGGATCCATTAAATTTTCAAAATTTTCTGGGGGAGGACCTCCAGACCCCCTTCAGGTGCTTCGCGCTTAACGGCGCTCGCGCTGGCGGCTTTGCCACTGTTTCCTATGTTTCGATAGTACCAGTTCCACTGCTGTTGCAATAAGGACCCCCCCCCTACTTTTTTAGCTGGCTACACCTCTGGTCATCATATCATACCAAAAATGCTTCTGGTTGCAGAAAGTTGACTATTTTCATTAGGCATAGTTGGTTTCCTGTGAGCATATTGACTAGTAAGTGGTTCTAGGCGCTTTGAGTCGTATTACAATGTTATGTGATGTCAGTGAGAAAACTATGAATCAATTCCCGTGTATAAGGGTAGCTGTTGCCGATAGAGGGCAGCAGTTGGTACTTTGACTTTACATATCATGTCAGTCTTTACAATTTTCAGAATGAATGGAGCTTACTGCTCTTGCAACTGTGTCAATGAGACAATTCTCGTGCTGAATGTTACTCTTGAAATATACATAGTATAACCATCCAAATGATGCAACATTGCATACATGTAGTAATTAAAGAGCGGTTTCTTGTATAATTTCAACACCTTATTGCAAATTACTCTGTTGTCGGGATTTATAAAGCTGTCTGCAATCCTTTGCATCCCAGATAATTATTAGATAGAACTATATATTCAGGATTAGGTGAAATATGGGTGGCTATAACAGCTTTTGCAACATCCATAACCCTGTATTAGGGTGTGAATGTGTATTACAAGAATTACATGAAAATTACATGAGTTTTTTAAATAAATAAAGTATATATATATTGTTGGCATGTGTACTATCCATATTACACTATCCAAGATATCTTTTTGCTGAGCATTTTTATGGTAAAATATGCCTCGCAATGATTGTAATGCATTATGTGAACCGTTTTTACTTCTATTTCTAGGACCTGTTGAATTTTGATGACCCTCTTAACATAGAGGCTTCAGACAATTACCTGAGAGATAAGGTGGGTTAAATATATACTTATTCCATAATGCAGGGTCAGATCCAGTGGTGGTGTCCAAAGGGTTCAGAGTTATCCTTCCCCCTTTGAAATGGCTTGTTTGATTTTCAGTAATTGGGAAAAATGGTCTTATTTGAAATAGCGTAAAATACTTACAAAATATAGAATGTAAAGTCAGACTCCAATTTACACCTGGTCATAACAGGGACTGCCTATATGCCAAATGCTGCCAAAAGGCCCCCAAAAACAACACTTAAAAGACAATTGAAGTCAAATTTCATAACTTCTATAACGTTTTTATACATAGAAATACATTCAATAACGTATTCAATTTCAAATCTGGCACCCAATTAGTAATAAACACAATAGAAATAACTGAATAGTAATCTAGAACATGTGACGTCACAGCCCCATGTTGAGCGACGTCATTATGTAAACAGTGTGTGTGGTGGTTAAATATTCGATGTTTTTTGTTATTTCTCATGCTTATTTATCATGTCGAGACACAAACATGTAGCCTGTAAATGTACTTATATTCATGTACATACATATTACCTGTGTGGATAATGCATTCACGGTATATGTACATAACTTGCCGTGCGTAGATGCATGTACATGTAGGCCTTACAGATACATGATTCTGACCGAGCGTGATAAGCCCGGTGATCAGTGTACTCGCATGACTCACCTGGTCTACAATAACCCTGGTCTTATCATTCTCATGGCAGCATATTATACATTCAGGTGCCGTACTCATTAATTCACAAACACCACAAGAACTGCAGTATTTGTCTACAGTCCTATCGGGTACCGAAGCTTCCATTCCGCCATATGTTGTGACTGTTCTGATTCTTGAGAAGTTTGTGCCGACTCTTTGCGTTGCTTTTTCAGACTATTCTCCTCAATTTCTTCTTGTGTATATTCAGGCTCAAACCTATATACAACTGGTAAATCACTATAAATATCATCATCATCTGAGTAATCACTAGAATCATTGAAATTATCGCCGTCTGTTTCCATCTTATACACAACACTCAACGTGCGTTAGCGTGGCGTCGCTCGATCAACATGGGGCATATATATATATATATATATATAATTCCATACTGTGGTATCTATTTTCATAATGATATAATATATTTCAACATATTGTATATGATATAAAATTATATTTTTAGGTTGGCCCCGGAAGACGTGTTTGTAGCTGTCAGAAACGGAGGCAAATATGATAACGCTGCATAAAAAATTGCGCGAAAAGAATCCACAAAAAAATGAGCACCCACTCATGGGAACCCAAACAAGGAGGGTATCAGTGCGAGACAGACTACTTGTTAAAGGTGGGTGTGCAGATGATTGAAGTTTGATCACATTTTTATGAAACTTCCATTATAGCACCAATACTTACATTAGGAAAAACAATCACAGTTAAAGTAAAAAGAAAATTTAATTGGAGCTTGATTACAAATAATTCTCAATATTATATGCTATTTTTCAGAAGTGCAAGAAATGAACCAATATCTCCCACCTACGTGTTCCATTCAGTTTGATGATCCGAACACACTTCATGATTTTGATCTGATAATCAACCCTGATGAGAGCTACTGGGCTGGGGGAAAGTTCAAGTTTCACATACAGGTCCCTGATGATTATAATATTGTGGTAAGATGCAATAAATTGTGAATTTTGAATCCCTTTTATATATGTAAAGTATGATGATATTTTTAGATTTAAAAGCGTTTTCAAAAGTTATAATTCAATACCATTTGCCAGTGTTTTAGTTAGGAAGTGCATGAGGTCCAGCCACAGAGTGTGTCTGGTATAAATATCCCCACTAGACACGTGATGCTTTTCTAAATATGCTGCGCATAATAAAATGGAGTGAGTGATACATGAGAGACATTTACACAGTTATCAACTTTTGTAAATTACATGCTATAGTACTTGTAAAGTAGTTATTATTTTTATTGTATAATTGTTATATAGATTTACATATTTGTTGTCATCAGTGTACATGAGTATTTATTTATGTTTTATTTATCACATAAGCCACCAAAAGTGACTTGTCAGACAAAAATATGGCACCCAAATATCAGTGAAGAAGGTGATGTGTGCCTGAGCTTGCTACGCCAAAATGCCATAGATGAAATGGGTAAGTATCTTTGTAGTATGATATATTTATGCCTTAAATTAAAAATTTAATTAGTGCCAAATCATTGAATGCTGGTTATTAAAGTGTTGCAAATTATATTCTAAATAGTTAATATAGAACTGCCTTGTATGTGTGCGTGCGTGCGTGCGTGCGTGCGTGCGTGCGTGCGTGCGTGCGTGCGTGCGTGCGTGCGTGCGTGCGTGCGCGTGCATGTACTTGTGCATGTGCATGTGCATGTGTGTAGTTTATAGTCTAGTAAAAGATGCATAAATATTGAATTGTATGCATTGGTTTGCTCAACTTGTAATTATTTTGCCTGTAATTTTCAGGCTGGGCTCCAACACGCAAGCTGAAGGATGTTGTGTGGGGACTAAACTCTCTGTTCATGGTAAATGCTACATTTTTACAAACACATAATTCATATTATAGTTTTCGAATAAGATTACTCGTTACACTACGTGTTATAGCACATAACAGGAATTTATATGTGGGAGTGTGTGCGCACGTGTGCATGCGTGTGTCTGTAGTCACACTGAATCTATCTGAATATACCAGTGGAATTACATGACATTACAGTGTATTACGTAAACTGGGTGATTTTCAATAATATAATAATGTAAATCAAGGTTGATATGTACTTAATGAACACATGTTAAGGGAAATGGCAGTTTATGGCTTCTTTAAGAAATTAACATGATGAAATTTTCACAAGTGCAGAGTTTTTTCAAGTACCAGTTTGTAGGTGACTCATTGATCTGTAACACCAGAAAACTTAAATTTGTATGTATTCATTTATTGTCATTTGTATCTAAATGCGTCAAAAGGTTTGGGTTGCTTACCATTATTATCCACGTATCACGGGCATGAATTTTACCATGGCACTTAACGCAAGTCCTGTAGTTCCACTTCCCCCTCTTTGATATCGTTCCTAAAAATATATCTTTAGGAAGGCTTTTCAAAGTGCTGGGAAATTGCACCTGGATCCATTAAATTTTCAAAATTTTCTGGGGGAGGACCTCCAGACCCCCTTCAGGTGCTTCGCGCTTAACGGCGCTCGCGCTGGCGGCTTTGCCACTGTTTCCTATGTTTCGATAGTACCAGTTCCACTGCTGTTGCAATAAGGACCCCCCCCCTACTTTTTTAGCTGGCTACACCTCTGGTCATCATATCATACCAAAAATGCTTCTGGTTGCAGAAAGTTGACTATTTTCATTAGGCATAGTTGGTTTCCTGTGAGCATATTGACTAGTAAGTGGTTCTAGGCGCTTTGAGTCGTATTACAATGTTATGTGATGTCAGTGAGAAAACTATGAATCAATTCCCGTGTATAAGGGTAGCTGTTGCCGATAGAGGGCAGCAGTTGGTACTTTGACTTTACATATCATGTCAGTCTTTACAATTTTCAGAATGAATGGAGCTTACTGCTCTTGCAACTGTGTCAATGAGACAATTCTCGTGTTGAATGTTACTCTTGAAATATACATAGTATAACCATCCAAATGATGCAACATTGCATACATGTAGTAATTAAAGAGCGGTTTCTTGTATAATTTCAACACCTTATTGCAAATTACTCTGTTGTCGGGATTTATAAAGCTGTCTGCAATCCTTTGCATCCCAGATAATTATTAGATAGAACTATATATTCAGGATTAGGTGAAATATGGGTGGCTATAACAGCTTTTGCAACATCCATAACCCTGTATTAGGGTGTGAATGTGTATTAGGCAGAATGTGACATTGAAATCATGGTTGGTTAATAAATAAATTGTATATGGGATTGGTGGATGGATATCATATTACCTATCCAGAGATATCTTTTGCTGTGCATTTTTTATGGTAAATATGCCTCGCAATGATTGTATGCATTAGGTGTGAACCGTGTTGTCTTCTATTTCTAGGACCGTGGTTGATTTTTGTGCCTCGTTAACATGAGGCGTTCAGACGTCTGAGAGAGTAGGTGGGGGTAAGATATATTATTCGCATAATGGCAGCGGTTCAGTCCAGTGGTGGGTGTACAAAGGGGTTCAGAGGTTTCTTCCCTTTGAATGTTGTTATGATTTTCAGTAATTTGGGAAATGGTTATTTGAAATAGCGTAAATCTTACAAAATATAGAATGTAAGGTCGCTCAAATTTAACCTGGTATAACAGGGACTGCCTATATGCAAAGGCTGCGAAGGCCCAAAACACACTAAGACATTGAAGTAAATTTATATTCTATACGGTTTAGTATACATAGAAATAATTCATATCGTATTCAATTTAAGCTGGCCCCATTTAGTAATAAACACAATAGAAAATACCTGAATAGTAATCTAGAACATGTGACGTCAGCCCATGTTGAGCGACCGTATTATGTAAACAGTGTGTGTGGGGTGAATATTCGTGTTTTTTGGTTATTTCTCATGCTTATGTATAGGGTCGAGACACAACATTGTAGCCTGTAGGAATGTACTTGTATTATGTACTACATGATGTATACTGTAGTGGTAATGCCGTTCACGGTATATGCTACATATTGCGCCTCGACACCCCCGACGACCTCTCGGGTGGTAGATGCATGTACATGTAGCCTTACAGATAATGATTCTGGACGGCGTGTCAAGGCCGGTGGATGGCAGTGTACTCGGATGATCACATATGCGTTACGGTAACCCTGGGTCTTATTTTCATGGCCGATATATATACTTCAGGTGCCGTACTTTAATTTCACAAACACCACAAGACTGTACAGTATTTGTTAGCAGTCTATCGGGGTACCGACGCTCTCCAGTTGCGCCATAGGTTGATGGGAACTGTTGCTCGCGAATTCTAGAGAGTTTTGCTGAAGAACTCTTGGTGGCAGGTGTGCTATTTTGGCAGATTTCTCCTCAATGGTTCGTGCGTTAGTGTCGTATATTCAGGCCTCAACTGATTAAACTGGCTAAATGCACTTAGAATTCATTCTCTGAGTATACTAGATTATATGAATTATCGCCGGGTGTCTGTTTCCATCTTAAACTACACAACAACTCAAGCGTGCGTTAGGGGAGATCATGCCCGCGGCGCGAGAGTTCAGCTCGATAACATGGGGGAGGCTCAGCAGAGGGAGATGGAACTAGAGGGCAGATTACTAGTGTCATGGATGGCTGCATTCTTAATGTGTGTTTAGCTCATCTGGACATATGTCAGACTGCAAGTTGTAGAATCGCATGATGTCCGGTCGCGGAGCGACGAGCGCGATCCTGGGATCCGTCCCCGTCCGAAGTCCAAGGGTTCTGCGCGCGACAGAGATCGAGAAACGGGAGGCTCCGACGTCGGGGACAGCAGGGGGTCACGATATTCGGGACGGTGGGAGAAAAGCACCAGGGGGGGTGGTAACCGTCCAAAAGGGGACGAGTTGGGGATGAGTCGAAGCTGGTCACAGGGCAAGGGGATCAGAGGGGCATACAGGGGCGCACAAAGGTCAGGCAAGGCAGGGGGTAGACAGATTGTAACGTAAGCAGGGGGAAGGACCACATGGCCTCGGCCTTAAGTTAAGGGTCGGATCGAGATGCAGACGGGGAGAAAAGCGGGGGGGCAGACGGGGGAGGAAAATGCGCCAGAACTTGGCGGGGCGCGAAGAATTAAGGAGGACGGGACGGAGCCCAACTAGGCTACGGTAAGTCGGTGTATAGCATCATGGTAGGACAAGCCATCCACTGATAAGAGCAAAGGATATGGGAGTCGAGGCAGGTGACGGCCACATGCCACTGCGTCAAAGGATCAATGGCGGCCACAGGGCCAGATTTTGACATTATTTCTGAGGCACATGGTGTGCGGAGCGATTGAAAACTTTTTGTTTTCAGCGCCGGTGAGCTAGCATTTTTATGGTTTTATTGAAAGGACCTGAAACTGGCTTTCCACTTGACTGTGCGAGAGTAAGTGGTCGGGCATACCTTTTGACCTCAAGAGAGGGTTCAACATGGATTCTGTTTATAGATTATTGTTGTGTAGAGAGTTTGATGCTGGCGGGTTTGTAGTAGAATGGATCCGTGCCGATGGATAGTATGCGGCTACAAGTGGATCACAGATGATATGCGGGTTTCAGCTGGAAGCTAAGAAACTTTGGTGGAAGGAGAGGGTTTTTAGGGTTGGGCCGGGTGGAAGCGCTACTAAGTTTTGCGTAATGGACATTCTGTACTGTCGTATGTTAACATGCTAACTTAATTGATGCCGTGCGAGTGGCCCCAACTGCAGTGCATGATGGTGATGAGATGGGTGATGGTGTAGTGTTACTTGCGCGAAGAATGGACTCGAGGGGGTGACTGAACCTATTCTCTGTCCTTGCAAATAGTGTGGTAGTTAATACAGTTACGATGGAAGTCTTCCCGGTACCAAGATACGCGCCATGCGTGGCAACTTCTAACCCTCGACACCGAATACTTGTCTGTCAGGAAGGCTCCTTGTACGATGCCA